TAATAATCCCTACGCCCAAACTCCCAAACTTTGACGACATATATCATTGTAATTTTTTGGTTGATTGACTAAATATGAAATAAGTGTCCACTATTTTTAGGGTACCGTACCTCAAAAGGAAAAAACGGAACCCGTATAGGATCACTTTGTTGTCCGTCCGTCCGTCTGTCTAGACCGTTTTTCTCAGGAACGCGTGGAGGTATCAAACTGAAATTCAAATCTAATACTCAGGTTTACTGTTCCTTGGAGCTGTGAAATAACCAAACTTCTAAGCTCAAGCAATCAAAAGATACAGCCGTTTATGCCGCAAATTTTCGAAACTCGCACGGGAATCAAAACCTACAGGGTACTTCCCGTGAACTAAGAATCTTGAAATTTGGTACGAAGTAACGTCTTATAGTACAGATAAAGGAACAATTATTGCGAAAAGTGTAAATTTTTAGTTACATCATATAATAAAAAATATTTTGAAAATTCAGGTTTGTACGGAACCCTCGGTGCGCGAGTCCGACTTGCACTTTTAGGTTTTTTTTTATTATCTAACTGATGGACTAAATACAATTTCGGCTATTTTATCCCGCCAATATCCCTATTGTGTTTTATATCGCATACATATTTGACATTGATGTAACACGGATTTGATTTTTTTCAGGCCGCTTATTTAAGCGGACATCCTCCATTTTAAAGATTATATATTTTTTTTTAAATCAGTGTTACATTCAAATACACTGTTGAAAAGCTAATTAAATTACTAACATTGAACCTCGGAAACAATTCGCTAAGGCTACCGATTGCATATTAGCAAATTATCGGTTTATTGTAACCGATTCGTTTTAATTATAAATCGATTTGTAATTGTGAATGCAAATATGAGTACATATTTGGCCTGGCATTGAATGATTCTCCATAACTAAACCTAAAATTGACGGCGGTATATAGATTTGTTACTATTTAATATGTTTATTAAAGAATCTCACCAGAATTCAAGATAAATTTATACATTACTTCGGATCGCTTCAGATGATGTCATTCATATATAGCCACTAGGAGACTGGAAGAGAACGCTGGCTGATACTCTGCAATCTCTAGCTTTACTATGTAACTTGTGCGTGCTCCCGACTTCGTCCGTGTGGTCTTAATTGATTTCCCATACAAACGCCCCCCCCCCCCCCCCCTTTTTACTCATTTATAAATGGCAGTTTACAGCCAGATTGTCCATTTGCTTGTTTATGTAGGGGACATACCTACATAATAATAACAATAATAAAAAATAAAGCTCGATGGCGCAAATGGTTAGCGCGTTCGGTTAAGCTAAACTTTCGCAGTGGTCGGTCATTGGAAAGGTGACCAAAAATTTACTAACTCCAGCTCCTTCGTGCTTCGGAAGACACGTTAAGCCGTTGGTCCCGGCTGCAACTGCAGTCGTTAACACCCACCAATCCGCACTGGGCCCACGTGGGGGTCATGGCCCAATCTCCCTATACCATCCATAGGGAAGACCAACTGGTTTTCTCACACCCCAGCAGTGGGAACATTAATAAGCTGATGATGATAATAAAAAAAGCGTGTGCGTCTCAGGACGCACGACAGAAGTGATAACTTAAACTTATCTAAGCGGTGCTGCGGGTTAGAGTGAGAGAGGACGAGCCCACCTACCGCTGCCGTATGCGTGAGAGGAAAGGAAGCCAGACCTACTGGCGCCGTAACGCGTTACGTAACGAAGCGGTTTACCCTCCCATAAGAAATATGCCGCAAATTTCCGCAAATATTCGAAACTCGCACGGGAATCAAACCATACAGGGACTCCCGTGAACTAAGAATCTTGAAATTTGGTACGAAGTAACGTCTTATAGTACAGATAAAGGAACAATTGCGATCAACAACAATTGAGTTATCACTTCAATAAATTGACATCGCCAAGAAAATAATTCTCACTTTTTTTGCAATCAATCAAGTTTTTAAGTTACCTCGTAGGTATGTATAACCGTGTTACTCAATAATGTTGCTCGGGTCGATAAGAAAACTCGGCACGCGTACGTTCGGGCCAACAATTATCTCGGAACAATATAAAGTGGCGTGTAATCGGTTCTCTCCGATTCTCACGCGATACGTAAACTACCGTCGCTGTGTTGAACTGAATCGAACTGTCACGTGGTACGGGGGGATATATTCTGAAACTATGCGAATCCAATGAAAATACTTGTTGTAGCGGCAATAGAATTATAATATCTCCACTGCTGTTGCGCTGGCCGTCCCTGTGGATGGATTGTTGTGATTGGGCTATGCTGTGACCCTCCATGCGGGCCAAGTTGATTTCTTCTTACGATTGAGATGCGCAAAAGCAGGTTGTAGGGTGCAGCGGTCTCAGGGGCCAGGGCATTTTGACCACGCGCTTACTAGGGAGCACTAGGTTAAGAGCGGACGCGAGCTGAGAGACATTTCAGAAATAGGTATTTGAAAACACTAGTGAAAATAGTTCGCGGACAAAAGTCTCTCGTCTGCGCAGGCCATTATGGGTACAGAATCTTAAAAACTAAAAACGGTTTAAAATTTTCGTTTACGTGCGTTCTCAGAGTAGCCCCCCCGGTTCACGCATCAGTAGTAGTTGTAATTAGTTACTAGCCAAACTTTGTTTTGCATTGTTTAACAAATTGGTCGAAAGTACAGTGACATCCATCTCTCTCGTATTTACGATTATGTGAAAGAATTAGGTGTTTTCTTAATATTTTATCATTGGGAAGCAAAGGTTTTCGTATTTGGAGAGTCCTTCAATCCATTTTTATTTACAAAACTTACGAATATACACAATATTACAAGAAGTAGGTACTTAATATGGAGAAACTCTCATTGGTACGTCTACCAGGCTTAGCTCTGATATTTTTTACAAGAAAACGTGGAATCATTTGCCGGGAATTTATTGTAGAGAGAAAAATACATAGCGTAGACATTATAAAGCGAAATCTTATCTTAATCCAAAATTATCATCCAATTTCAAAGTTTGTAACTTTCCAGAGGGATGCGAAATAAATAAATCTATATTATAGGATTGCTAACTTAAAGTTTATTTTCCATTTAATAGATTTTACGTTCCTGAAACACTTGACATTAAAATTTATAATTAATTATTTTATTGACGCTACCAAAGTTGATAGTAGTCTCATTTCTTCGCAATAAACTTAAAAGGCTATTTAACAGGAAAATAATGTACCAATTATTGGCATCTGTATTTAATATAAATATAAACAGCGATTTTACTATTCTGAGAGAACAAATAAGTAATAACTTTTCTATAAAATCATTAAATAGAAATGATTTTCTTGCCCCATGGTCGCGTGACCGAAAACGCCTGCGATTGGCCAAGACTAAAATGACGTCACAAACTAGTAAACCTCCGGCCAAAGTGACATGACATTGTATCGTTTGACGTTTTAATGACAGTCGTGTGACGTCACACACTAGGGAGACGCCATAATGTCCAGAGAACATTTTCACGGCAACTTGAAAATTTAATTTAGTTTTTTTTACTGAATTACACAATAGAATTAAAAATATTCACTTTTTATGGCCTCCATAAACTATGTATTTGGTTCTGTAGTTAGTGATCAGTTTTCAGTTTTTGGCTTTGTTGTTTGTTTGCATGTTTTAGTTAAACTTTAAACTAGATAAAAATGGCACTTCTTCTATCTAAACTTACTTACTTCATTGCTTCCAGGCTGTTATGATTTTGTTTCTTAATTTTACTTGCACATTTTTTTAATTTTTGTTTTGACAGCCATAGATAGACATAGAGACTGAGCGACACTCACATGAAAATGGCAATTCTTATTGCTAGCACTTCACGTTTTTATTCGTGTCATTTTTGACTGAAGGACTCTAAGGCTCGTATTACAGAATGACAACTTAGTGGGGATCCCTTTCAAAGGGAACCCCTTTGAAAGCGATGGCGCTATGTGCTATCTTTACTTGAGTTCAGTTAGAAAGGGATGTCGCTATGTGCTATACATAGCGTATGATAGAGACAACCTGCTGTCAAAATGTTATTTTTTTATTTGTTCATGACCTATCATTTATTATTATGAAAGGGATATCGCTATGTGCTATATATAGCGACATCCCTTTCTAACTATGCTCAAGACTAGATTCATCACTGAGAATCTTTCTATAATACGGACCTTAGTGGTCATTATGTAATACGAGCCTAAATGCAGGTCATGAATAAATAAAAAAATGGCATTTTGACAGCAGGTTGGCCCTATCATACTCTTAAAGGGAGTGAAAAGGACAGACTGCTGTCAAGTTTACAAACAGCAAATACGAATAGCCAAGTGAAGTGCCGACTAAAGAGGCAAGAAGCAATCAATACATAAGCGAACTTAGCCTGCTCTATTGCTTTATCTGCCCAGTTTTAGTTCTTCTTCACAGCTGAAGAAGGTAATGCTCAATCCCGATGTCTATGGGTTTGACACAATCAATTTACAGACTTTTTGTGCTATTAATACAAAAATAAATGTGTGCACGGACCACACATCTGTAATGAAACTTCTTTTCTTAAATAAACTAACATTAGGCGGTGCATAAGGCATAGGGGAATGGAGCAGCGCACGCATCACTCATATGTAATTATGTATGTATAATGTAAATAATTATTGCGTGTGACGATCGTAGTGTTTCAGCCTTCGCCGAATTACCCTCCAACTTCATGCCCGTCGTGAAGAGCTGCGCACACATCCCAAACATACACGCGCACACACACACACACACACACACATATATATATGTTGCTGTAACGCTCGTGGCGCATTTCCGTTTCATCTTTTCCATAGGATGTTTCCACCCCGTTCGAAAAGAAGTTTCACTTCAAAAAGTATGTTTTTTCTGCCTCATTTTAATGTTGAGCTTTAAGTCCTTAGTAATAAAATTCATTATACACAAAAAGTCTGCAAGTATATGAATTTCTAAAGTATTTTATATTTATGTAATATCTATAATTGTGTTGTCAGGTTGGTGGATTCACGTTCATGGGACATTTTAACTGGATCGAAGTGCCAGAAAGGGAGAAGAAGAGGAGGGGCTCCGACATAGCTCCTACGTGGTCAGTACTTTTCTATACAAATACATACCTTAATAAGTACTACAAAAAGTTGATTCCAGTGACATTGTAAAGATCATCAGCGACCAACAGCTTAAATACAACAACAAAAAAACTAAAAATTTGTGTGCACAAATCACACATCTGAAGTCAAACTTATTTTCTTAAATAATCAAACATTAAGCGGTGCATAAGGCATAGGGGAATGGAGCAGCGCACGTATCACTCGTATATAATTACTAGCTGTCCACAGCGAACTTCGTACCGCCATAAAAACATAGGGGTTGGTGGTAGAAGGGTGAAAATTTAGGGTTGTATGAATTTTTGTATGATGTATCATAAAAAAATTAAAAAAAAATTAAGGGGTGGTTACCCTTGACATTTAGGGGGATGAAAAATAGATGTTGTCCGATTCTCAGACCTACCCAACATGCACACAAAATTTCATGAGAATCGGGAAAGCCGTTTCGGAGGAGTTTAACCACAAACACCGCGATACGACAATTTTATATATTAGCAAGGGCGGATCCAGGGGGGGGGGTCATGGGGGTCATGACAGCCCCTGGGCTGGGTACAGATGGACCAAACCTAGGGGGATTTTATTAAAGTACTTTCAATATTTAATATACCACGACTATATGACCCCCCCCTGGCGCCAAAGCTGAATCCGCCCTTGTATATTAGATCTATGCTTTGGCGTCGAGTCGTACAGGGGGCTCAAAGAGTTGGCCGATAGCGAGGGATCCATAGACTGCACCGACAAGAGCATAGCCTTTAAATTTGGGAGGGGGATATTATAAAGAGGAAAGATTTGATTGTTTGTTTGTATTGAATAGGTTCCGAAACTTCTGGAGCGATTTGAAGAACTCTTACACATTTAGAATTCTACATTATCCCTGATGAACATAGGCTATAGAGTATTTTCAAACAAGTCAGGGTTCCGTATGAAAAATTCGATAATGTAAAAAAAATACCATAAAATAGCCTTATTACGCTGCGGAAGTCATTGACTATCTTTATATAGATATATATATTCAACATCCAAGACTGGAGTACAAATTCTCGTATTCATCACATAAACATCTGCCCCTACCGGGATTCGAACCCCTCGAGTAGGCGACACCTTGAACTGTCGTGATATATATATTAGTTAGAATAACTAAATTCGCTCGTTGCCAGCGAGCATGACGCATGAAACAGTCAAACAACAAAGGAATTTTCTATTAGTGATATAATAAAATCACGAGATTGACGACCTCCGTGGCCGAGTGTTTTGTACGCCGGGTTTCATGGTGTCGCCGACACGAGAGGTCCCGGGTTCGAATCCCGGTGGTGGCAGATGTTTGTGTGATGAATACGAGCATTTGCACTTCAGTCCCATGACTGAATATATATATATTTATATAGATACTAGCGGCCCGCCCTCGCTTCGCTTCGGTGTAGAGCTGAAGTGTAGAACTACAGTTTTTGTTCTCAGGCTTGTATTATACACAATGACATTCATCTATGATTCTTCTTATACCTGCATGCAAAGTCTCAGCCCGATCGGTTTAAAATTGACAAAGTTTCATACAAACTTTCATTACCTATTTTATCCCCTTGGGGGTAGAATTGATCAAAATCCTTTCTTAGCGGATGCCTACGTCATAACATCTACCTGCGTGCCAAATGTCAGCCCGATCCGTCCAGCGGTTTGGGCTGTGCGTTAATAGATCACTATGTCAGTCAGTCATCTTTGAGTTTTATATATATATAAATATACTTATTTAAGTACAGTATATGTATTCTATCCGTTACCCTAGTATCCCATAAAACAATCTCTACAGTGCTTACTTTGGGGCTATACTAATTGGTGTGAGTGTTGGAAATATTTATTTATTTATTATTTCAACCATCAGGTCACCGACAATGGCTGGGGGATTGTTTGCCATCAACCGCGCTTACTACTGGGAGCTCGGAGCGTACGATGAACAGATGGCCGGATGGGGCGGAGAGAATCTGGAGATGTCATTCAGGATATGGCAGTGTAGGTGCAGACTTAGATACTAGATTTTGGTTGATGAAGTGACCCTTTTCAATGAGGGCTACCGTTTTTAGTGTTTCTTATAGTATCACTTTGTTGTCCGTCCGTCCGTCCGTCTGTCTGTCAAGACCGTTTTTCTCAGGAACGCGTGGAGGTATAAAACTGAAATTCATATCTAATACTCATGTCTATTGTCCCTTGGAGCTGTGAAAAAATCAAATTTCTAAGCCAAAGCAATCAAAAGATACAGCCGTTTATGCCGCAAATTTTTGATACTCGCACGGGAATCAAAACCTACAGGGTACTTTTCGTAAACTAAGAATCTTGAAATTTGGTACGAAGTAACGTCTTATTGTACAGATAAAGGAACAATTGCGAAAAGCGTAAATTTTTAGTTACATCATAAAATAAAAATATTTTTGAAAATTTTAAAGTTGTGTCCCTCTTTTCTCATGAACGCGTAGATGTATTAAATTGATTCCGTAGAACGCGTTTCTACGGAACCCTGAATGAAATGAAACACCCTGTCCTCACCCTTTTGTCTCACTAGATGGCACCACTGTTGAGTGAGGTCCTGAAGAGTAACTTTTGAAGTTTATTAATGCACGCGTGAAACAAAAGTTTATATTAAAATCATATTTTAATACAAAAGAACCGTATCGTAAACACAAAAGGCCATGCCACAGTGTTCCGCAGTTCCGTTTTGTTCGGGAAAAGAAGAGTACATAATATTTTTTCTTAGCTCCGCTTATAAATAATTGACGTTCATTGACACGTAACTCATATTTGCCATAATTTATCTGAATCATTACTAAATATTCACAACATTATTTTAATTAGAATTAAACCCGCGTAGTCAACCCTCAAGCAATAACATTTGACATTTCGGAGACCTCACGCTACACAAGCACCTCTAGCGGTGGATTCACACGCGATAGCCCTCATTATATAAATGTATGTTTATCTTATTTCTAAGAATGTGATGGAAGTTGAAATCAGTACATATTTTCAAGTTTTGACGTCATCTATCAATTGCCAGCACCGTATGAAATAAAAAAACGAGCGAGCCTTACAGTAGTCGCGTATGATGTGTAACATTTGAAACCTCACCTTATATTAGTAAAAAAGTAAGGCTTGGGTTGGTTGGTAGGAATCAAATTGGCATTTAGTACTATTACTAATTCTTTGATTATTTGTTTATTATTTTTGTCAGGCGGTGGCACATTGGAAACAATACCGTGTTCTCGAGTGGGTCATGTGTTCCGCAGTTTCCACCCTTACGGGCTGCCGGCACATACAGATACTCACGGTAAGTTAACCCTATAATAGTATCTATACATTTAATAAATTTGGTAGGACAGTGTGATCTGCAATCGATACCGAAGCCAAAAATATAGTTATTAGAATATTTGACTGTTTGTCTGTAAGTATGTCCGGGATTAACTCAAAAAGTACTGCATAGATTTACTTCAAATTTGGCACGAATATTATTAAGAAGTCGGGTCAACATATAGGCTACATATTATCACTCTATCACTTCCGGGGAACGAGCAGTGACCCTTTATTTCTAACTAACTCCAAGCGTACGAGGTCGCGGGCGGCCGCTAGTAAGTTATATATTATTATAATATATAGTTATAATAATATACGTAATATCTTTATATATATAATTCTTCTGTGAGTGTGTATGTCACTGAACTTCTCTTAAACGACTGGACCGATTTTGATGAAATTTTTTGTGTGTGTTCAAGGGGATCTGAGAATGGTTTAGATTCACAATTTTATCCGCTGGACAATGTTTTTTTAATTAAATTTTTTTATGGTGGTACGAAGTTCGCTGGGTCAGCTAGTATTATTATAAATATCTGCCTGAGTAATGGCGCGATTACACTTGCTCGCTAGCCCGAATAAGAGTGCCAATGGAATTCGGGTAAACGACTAAGTTTAAATGAACGGAGTTAAGTACACTCGGGTCGGGTAGATTTCCTTTTGTTTACCCGACAACGTCTTTCAGCCCGTAGTCCAGTGTAAATAGTGCCCGAATTCGAGTAATGTCTTACGTGCGACCGAATTCGGGCTAACGACCAAATGTAATTGCAGCATAAGGGTAAGGATTGTGATACAAAAGTAGAGTCTGTTTACTCATTGACGTACAATAAATAAATAATCTTCCATAAGCATGCTCAAAAATTATGTTATTTTCTCGTTTTTTCCTCCATGTTTTAATTCAGATGACAAATGTTATTTTTTCCTAAAGATGCCAAAGTCATCTACAAAAAATTACAAGAATAACTGTATTTTTACTTTTATCTAACATTAAAAATGGCTTAGAAAATTAAGTTTAAAGTATGCATTTTCGCAAGACATTATTTAAAAACGCGAGCGGTCCGCTTACTTGCGATGACGTCACTCGTCGTGTCGCGCCCCCAGGGCTGCGTTCAAAACCTACGCTGTAGATGCAATAATTGTCAAAGTTGACATTAGCTTCATACATTTTAGGTCAAAATTGAAACGTCAGGGTAAAGAATTGCACTAAGAGCGTAGTTATTGAACGCATCCCTAGGAACAAGTGACAGCGTTTTTTTACGTCACTCCCTGTGCTTACCACAGGGAGTGACGTAAAAAAATCTGCTGTTTCATACAAAAGTGCATCAGCTAATCGACCGAAATGTATGAAACAGCAGTTTTTTTATCGCGATTTCAGCGTTGGTCCCATTATAAAAGTAGTTCCTGTTGATGGGTAGAATCACCCCCTAAGAAGTTGTTGGTGTTTTAAAATTAACCCTGTATATGTTCTCGTAGGTATCAACACAGCTCGTATGGCGGAAGTATGGATGGATGAGTACGCTGAACTTTTCTACTTACATCGCCCGGACTTGAGGGTAAGACTACACCGATAAAAAGGTTTTATCTTATTAAATTCAGCAAAGTCAACTAAACTCAACGAATTAGAAATGATATGGAAGCATTAATTTTCCTTTTTTTATTTATTTATTTGTTTCTTTTTTAGTTTTAAATATAAATATTCATCTATATATATGTAAAACTCAAAGGTGACTGATTGTCTGACATAGTGATCTATCAAAGCACAGCCCAAACCGCTGGACGGATCGAGCTGAAATTTGGTATGCAGGTAGATGTTATGACGTAGGCATCCGCTTAGAAAATATTTTGAACAATTCTACCCCCAAGGGGATAAAATAGGGAATGAAAGTTTGTATGAAACTTTGTCAATTTTAAACCGAACGGGCTGAGACTTTGCATACAGGTATAAGAAGAATCATAGATGAATATCATTGTGTATAATACAAGCCTGAAAACAAAAACTGTAGTCTACACTTCAGCTCTACACCGAAGCGAGGGCGGGCCGCTAGTCTTATAATAATTACCTTTCTTATTTTATTTTATAATATTGCTTTTACACCCTTTCCCCTTTTTTGTTCTTATACACATATTTAATTTTCCATCATGGGTTGTCTGGAAGAGATTGCTATTAAATATTAGGGCCGCCCATTGTGTAATGATTCTCTGTCAGTGTAATTTTAATTTTATGTCCTTTGTGGTGTTATACCATAAAGAATATTATTATAATATCCAACCCCTCGTTTCCACTAAATAACAAGTCGTATACTAGTTTTAAATAAAACTTTTAGAATACTTGTTGAGTTTGTTTAAAACATTATTTCGTTTACACAGCATAGACAACTAGTATTTTACAAGTATATATCACTTATTTACTTCACATATTTTGTTTGTCTAACAAGTTTGATGCAAGTATTACGTACTACATGTTTTATATGTGTATACTAGCTGAGCGAGTTCAATTACGCACACCGTGACACGAGAATTTTATTTATTAGATAAGCGTGAACAAAAAATTTAAACATTGTATGCAATTTTGATAAAAACATTTGTATATTATACCTTGGTGTAAGAAAGGCCGCTCGATACGTATACAGATTTTGACACATCAAATATCTGCAAATGGATTCGGCTATCCATTCATTAGGTGAGATAATGTTACACGGAAATCTCAACCAATCCCATGATCGGCGTGTTGATAGCAGTTTTTTGCCCCGCCCATTTGATTGTAGTTTTCGTGGAACCATTTTTAGCGCAATCCTTATTCCATATTATTTCTAACTCGTTGACTAGACTAGACTTTAAACCAAAGTTTTTCAAAACTATACATATTTCATTTACTAGCTATAAGAGAAAGAGAGAAAGAAAACGTGCGCGCGCACTGCTTTCTCTTGCTTATATCCCCCACTCAACTCCCGTTCGCCTCGCCTGAACACACTTTTCGTAACGCATTCGCCAGCTTACCCCCCAAGTCAAACGTGCGTAAAGATAGAAGTTTGGCTTCAAAAATACCGCCCAAGTGCGTGTTTGATTTGACACAGGGTCCGTAACAAATGTATTTATGTATGTAATATTTTCAAAGATTTTTTGCTTTAATTTTTTCACCAGAATAACCCCAAAATTGGTGACGTCACACATCGCAAAATCCTCCGTGAGAAATTGAAGTGCAAAAGCTTCCAATGGTACCTAGACAACATTTACAAGGAAAAGTTCGTTCCCGTACGTGACGTTTATGGATACGGCAGGTGAGTGGTTGATTTGATATGCCATTTCAATCCTTTAGGGTCATTATTTTGTAGCACATTTATAATGTGAATTTCGTTCCCGTGCGTGACGTATACGTTTACCCGAGGAGTAAAGGCTTGATATGCCATTTTAATTCTCACATATAGAGGTTTGAAAAGGTCGATATACATTAAAGTAGTCGGTCATTGGATGGGTACACAAAAAAAAATCTATCCCGTGCTCCGCCGTACTTCAGAAGGCACGTTAAGCCGTCGTTGCTTGTGGTCGCATCTACATTCGTTAGCACCCACCATTCCGCACTGGGCCCGCGTGGTGGGTCCTGGCTCCTATCTCCGTATTCCCTCCATAGGAAAGGCCTGTGCCCCGGCAGTAGGGACAATAGTAGACAATCTAAATATACAAGCTGTCGAATCCCAAAAGTATTTCATAATATAATTTTGTAGTGGCAATTTTTATCACAGCGCTAGATTCATACCTGTCCAACTAATATTACAAATGCGAAAGTGTGTCTGTCTGTCTGTTACCTCTTCACGCTTAAACTGTTGAAACGATTTATCTGAAATTTATAAATAGAATTTGTCCCCAGATTCATGAATGCCCCTTCAAGAATGTGTCTAGACACGCTACAACGAGAAGGTGTTGGCTCTCCCCTAGGCGTTTACCCTTGCCACGATCGTTTGCAAGCCACTCAGTACTTCAGCCTATCTTTGGCTGGAGAACTAAGGGATGAGGAGAACTGTGCTGAAGTGCAACATGTTAGGTGAGTTCAAACTGCTCGATTTATAAATGTTTTTTTTTTACGTTATAAGGGGCATTCGAGCAGACTGCTCACCTGATGGTAAGTGATCACCGTCGCCCATGGACACTAGCAACACCAGGAGTATCACAAATGCGATGCCGGCCTTTAAGGAAGGAGTACGCTCTTTTTTTGAAGGTTTTTGGGTCGTATTGGTCCTGACACTGAAACACTGAAAAAAATCAAAGAAAATAAAAAAAAATGTAAAGATCGATTCCTCAAACATGAGTTGTTAACATGAGCTTGTATACTAAAACTTATCAAATACACTACGAGGGAGGAGCTCGATGGCGCAGGTGGTTTGCGCGTACGACAACTTTCGCAGTGTTCATTGGATGGGTGACCAAAAATCTTCTATCTCAAGTTCCTCCATGCTTCGGAAGGCACACTAAGCCGTTGGTCCCGGCTGCATCTGCAGATGATGTTACTAGAAAAAAATAAAAATTCACGCGCTCCAGACGTCAGACAGGATTCGAAACCATACCTTCCGCTATCCGAGCGGACACACTTACCCGTACCAATTATGGTACCGGGACCTTAATGGTCGTGTCGAATTTCTTCCAGTATTTCTTAAGGTGTAAGACATTGCGTACAAGTATTAAACGTTTTGAATGAAGAAAGAACATTTGTTGTTTATTCTTTTTTTATTTTAAGAATTTAACTCCTAGATTTATATATCTAAAGATTTTACTAGAAAAAAATCGACGCAGGAAAGTGCAGTTAGGAATCCTATTTAATGCTTGGACCAATGCATTATTCTATACATTGTCCACGTCATCGTGGATGTTATTTCACAAAGTCTTTCCCAGAACGAAGCGCACCGCGATCTGAGGAAACAATATTTTTAGGCTAGTTACTAAAGATATAATAGGGTATTTGACAGTGTTAAAAATAAGTGCCAATTGTTAGCATCTGTGTTTAGAATAAATAGCAGGGGTTTTTACTATTTTTACAAAAAAAATATTCATAATTTTACTAAAAACCAACGAAGAGAAGAATGAATAGTTTTCTTATCTATTGTCACGTGACCCAAAACGCTTGGGATTGGCGGAGCCTAAAATGACGTCACACGCAAGTAAACTTCCGGTTAAAGTGACATTACATTGTATCGTTTGACGTCACACACTAGTAAGACGCCATATTGTCCAGAGAAACGTTTTCGCGGCAACTTGAAAATGGCGTTTTTGATTTGGTTATTTTTACTAAAATACACAACAGAATGATGAATATCCATCTTTTATGGACTCCATAAACATTAGTCAATAACGTGAGATCGTTTTCTAAAACTTGTCAAATACCTTATTATAGGCTGATGAATGCTTATTCATTTAATTTCTTTAGGGGAACTGCGCCTGATAGGGAGCGAAGAGTCCTCATGATGAGTTGCGGCGGTAGACAACGGCAGGTTAGTATATTGATATATTCAACGTATCTTAATTTTCTTTAGTTACAAAAATAGAAGAAGTTTCAATGCATAAAATAAATATAAGAATAGAATATATTTCATTAACCCTTATATTACAGATTTTACACATTTACAGATACAAATTCAAAAATCTCAGGGCTAACCAGGACCCTGCCTCAGCATTAGATGATGCGGCATTGTGTCGCACCAGCGCTGTTATTCTGGCAGGGCCTGTTTAGTAATACAAAAAAAAACACGCATTTTTTTTTCTATTACTTGAAAAGATATATGGGCCTTGCATCCTTTGCTTTCTAAAAACAATTATTTAAAATTTTGTGGGAAACTTAGATTTTTAGTATATAGTGTGCCTGCAACTTTAATTTTTGAAGTGATAACTTCTTATGGGAGGGTGAACCGCTTTCTTACGTAACGCGTTACGAAGTGGTTCATCGAGATAAACGCCAGACGTTTTATTTCTTGTAGACTTTTATGCCGCTTCTTATAAATAATTATTTAATTATTTTTTATCGTATAGATATTTTTTTAAAACATTTACTTAAATAAAGAAACGTAAACAGAGCCACACCAGCGCTTACTTCGATTTATTAATTTCGAGGTAGGTATACCTCGAAATTAATAAACGCTGAAAAACTGGGATTTTTAAAATGCATTCGGCCTTTTAATATAAAATCCGATCGTCTCTCAGAATTTGTAATGGAGATTAAATTTCACCTCTCATAAATCACTAACCCCCTTATTAATAAACTAGGAACAAGCTTAGACTAGTGTTACCATGTTTTGTTTATAACACTACAAACTCGTCCAAGCTTATTCTTTCGTCTTTGTTAACGCCTACGCGTTTCTAAACGCAATTACATCGGCCGCTAATACGTCGGCCTTCCATCCATAAGGAAATTACACTTTTCATGCAACCACCGCGCAATATTTTTTTACTGTATAGATTCATCATCGATGTGCACAACTGCTCTGTACCATTTTCATTTTGCTAAATTAAATCACTTTTCCAAAATCAGTTTTGAGTTCATATTAATGAATTCCATTGTGTCCACTACGAGACATATATTTTGGCGACCGTGACAGGACACAAAATACGAAGATACGGACGAGAATAAAAATTCGCAACATTATCGCATTCTTCAAGAAGATAGCTGAACTATTCTGGAGTCTTATTACATTAACCAGCTTCTACAGCGCTGACCTGGTTCTGCAAGGACATCAATATCAGCAGATTCGAGAAGATTTCGAGTAATTAAGGTGGAAAAATCAAGGCCGTAAACTGTGATTAGCCGAGCAATGACACAGCAAAAGTATCATCTCGCAGCATAATTCAGCAGATAAGTGCCCTATTTCCAATCACTAAATACCTAATCGCACCCAAATACATCCTAATCCATTATTCCTGTATCCTAAATATCATTTTAAATACGAAATTTGCAAATACTTGTACAGAAAAGTAAATTACCCTACGCAAAGTAAATGTTAATTTTTGTAAAATAATTTCAATTTTCTATAATTACAACAATGTTTTGCCAATTCTAAGCATAAATAATTAATCACAGTAAACGTCCGGTGACTGATGTGCATAAGTTTCGCGATATTTTAGCGTATTTTTGCCGAAATTTCCAGCTTTGCCGAGTTGCTGCCAGATTCTCCAACCAACTCATTTGGGTAACGGGATATGAGCTGATCGACAAGCTGCATAGAATCCAGTTGTTTGTCACCGAAGGAGGAACGTGAGCTAAATATTTCATACTTATTTATTGCCTTCTACTTATAGTTGACTTGTAATATTGGTCTCACTTTATCGTATTTGTTGCAAAATTTAGTGCTTAATATTAATATTTAATAAATTTACTTTTAAGGTAACGTACTTAAATTATTATTTTTATTAACTTTTAATCATGACTGAGCATAACTACGATAAGGTAACCTTAAAAGATTTGTTAACAAAGCGCAGCTCATTTAAAGGTCAAATAACAAAATTTAAAAACTATTTAGACCAAGTTACAAGTAAACATAGGCTGACAGCTGTCGAAATTGCTGAGTTTTCTTTAAAGTACAGCAAGTTTGAGGGTTTGTCCGCTAAATACGACGAGCTGCAAACTCATATTGAATTGTTAAATTCAGAAAATCTGGAAACAGAGTTGGATATTCGAGAACGCTTTGAACAAGATTTGATTTCATGTTCGGCTATTGCAAAAGGTTTTCTGGAAGAACAAAACGAAATGAAAATCATGGAACAGGATAAAAGGCGACGTGAATCATTATTTCTCGAAGCTCAATGCGTTCCCGATGAAAACTTGCCTGTTTCATTGCCTAAAATACAAATAGCAAAATTTGATGGTTCGATTTTCCGTTGGCTTGAGTTCCGAGATACGTTTACTACTTTAATACATAATAATAACCGCATTCCTGCTATACTAAAGTTCCAATATTTATTGTCATACCTAGAAGGAGACGCAGCTCGTGTTATTTCAAACATTGAACTTTCTAATGCCAATTATAATGATGCGTGGCAGTTGCTTAATGACCGCTATAATAACAAAAGATTATTGATCAATCATCATTTAAAATCGTTGTTCAACCTTCAACGAATTAATCGCGAATCCGAGAGTTCCTTACGATTTTTAGTTGATCACATTACCAAGAACCTACGTGCCCTTGCCAGTCTTGGTCAACCAACGGACTATTGGGACTCAATAATTATTTTTATGGTCTCTGATAAGCTTGATAACCAGACATTAATGAGGTGGGAGGAACAACGTAACAGCTTATCTGAGATTCCGACTTTAGAACAATTTAATAAATTTTTGATTGACAGGGCTTATGTAATCGAATCCACACGTCATAGTAGGCCAGATAATAATTTTAAATCGCCACACAATACTCCAAATACATACACAAAACCTTCTCATACAAAATCATTTACAACAAGTTATCAAAATAATAACAACAATACTTTTACTTATGTTTGTATAATTTGTAATAAAAATCATAGAATATTTGATTGTCCTGAATTTAAATCAAAATCCATGAAGGAGAAATTACATGATGTGTCAAAATACAAATTATGTTCGAATTGTTTGAGACAAGGTCACCCAGTCGGCGAATGTCGAATGGGCCCTTGTAGGCTATGCAAAAAACAACACAACACTTTGTTGCATTCAGTTGATACGGCTAAAGTCAACAGTGAGCAAAGTCATAGTTCACAGTCTATTGTGAATTTTTCTAAACGCGTTTCTTCACGAGTGGTCTTGTCCACTGCATTGATTGACATCTGCAATCCGATAACCAAAGAGGTAACCAAAGCACGTGCCTTATTGGATTCAGGTAGTGAGTCATCATTTATCACAAAAAGATTACAAAAAACACTATCACTAAATACAATTCCAATGAGTATGAACGTTATAGGTATTGGACATAATTCAGCAAACATAATCAACGAAAGGTGTGTTGTCCAATTGAAATCTATTAATAGTTCTTACGAAATCAAACTTAATTGCCTAATATTAGATGTTTTAACTGGTAATTTGCCTACAGTTCCTTTATGTATACGCGACCTAAACATACCACCACAAATACAACTTGCCGATCCTAACTTTGACCAGCCAGGTCCTATTGACATTTTAATCGGTGCGGTGAACAGCAGTCTTTGAGTTCTACCCTCAAGTTACATAACTCCGTATTTGGTTGGTTAGTTTGTGATCCAGTAACAGCAACCACTATAAATGTAACAAAATGCAATACTGTAATCAATAGCAAGATTTCAACTAAAGAATCTCAAGTTGATAGTATGTTAACAAAATTTTGGGAACTAGAGGAGCTACCTACGGAACCCATGTTAAGTCATGACGAAATAGCTTGCGAAAATCATTTTAAAACAAATACAGTGCGCCTACCTAACGGAAGGTTTAGTGTAGGCTTACCATTGCGTGATTCACCTAACGTTCTGGGTGACTCATATAATCTTGCGAAAAGGCGCCTTCTTAGTCTAGAAAAAAGGTTTAGAAAAAATCCTTCACTGAAATCAGAATATTCACAATTCTTGAAGGAGTATGAAACATTAGGTCATCTTTCAGAAACGTCTTATCAGCCAGGTCCTTCTTACTACTTATGTCATCATGCTGTCTTCAAAAATAGTGAATCTACTCAAACCCGAGTTGTGTTTGATGGTTCGGCACCTTCATCCTCAGGTTTTTCTGTCAATGATTTACAAATGATAGGCCCAAATGTACAAGATTCTCTTTTTTCTATCTTGGTTCGTTCACGTCAGTACAAATATCTTTTAACTGGAGATATCGAGAAAATGTATCGACAGGTGGAAGTCAGACCAGAAGATCGTAATCTGCAGCTAATTTTGTGGAGGGAAGATGAGTCTTTGCCTATAAAAACGTTGAAGCTGAATACTGTAACTTACGGTACCGCAAGTGCCAGTTATTTAAGCACACGTTGTCTTTGGCAGATCGGAGAGGAGTGTAAGGATAATCTTATCAAAACTATAATACAAAGGGACTTCTATGTTGATGATCTTATAACGGGCTGCAATGATAAAGAACAATTAAAAATAATTCAAAATTCAGTAGCTTCAGAACTAACTAAATGTTGCTTTAAATTACGTAAATACAAGACAAACTTACCTTCACTTTTTGAAAATTCTCCAAACAAAGCTTCAAAAGAAGACTTAACCATTAGTGAATCATCCAGCACTCTTGGTCTGGGTTGGAATCCTAACACAGACACATTCAATTTTCCTACAAGTGCTCTTTCTGAAGGCAAAACAATTTCAAAGCGATCAATATTATCACGCGCTTTCAAAATTTTTGATCCCCTAGGTCTCTTAAGTCCGTACATTATGCAGCCTAAGTTGCTATTACAACAACTGTGGCAACTCAAAGTAGACTGGGACGAACCTGTGCCTAGCAAAATAATGCGCGCATGGGAGGAATTTTCCGAAAGCCTACCAACTCTGACTAAATTTCAAATTCCTAGATTTGTGCTATGTGATTCATCGAAACATATCGAAATTCATTCATTCAGTGATGCCTCACAGGTTGGTTATGGTGCGTGCATCTATATCAAATCAATAAATGAAAACGGTGAAGTTACAATCAATCTTCTATGTTCCAAATCTAAGGTGGCACCAATAAAACCTACAACCATACCACGTTTAGAACTGTGCGCTGCTTTACTTGCTGCTAAATTGTGTAAAACTGTTGTAGGGTCTATTCGGTACTCACCTGATCGAATCTTTCACTGGTGTGATTCCAGCGTAGTATTGGGGTGGCTACAGGGAGATCCATCTAAACTAAAAACATTTGTTGCTAATAGAGTGAGCGAGATTCAAGATCTTACCCAATCTTCTTCATGGCGCTACGTCCCCACAGCGGAGAATCCAGCGGACTTGATTTCTCGCAGTGTCAATGCATACACTTTGTTGCAGTATTCTCTCTGGTGGCATGGGCCTGCATTTTTAATGCGTAATGAAGTTGATTGGCCTGTACTAAAAATCAATAAAGAAGATGACTTACCTGAATCTAAAAGGATTGTAGCCACGACCATCATCGATGAATCCCTGATAGAATTCGAACGTTTCTCAAATCTAAACAGACTTAAACGAACTATGGCATATGTAATACGCTTTATATATAATATAAAAAATCCTAAAACCAAATTAACTGGTGAACTAACTCTTGATGAGCTGAATTATTCTTTTAAATTTATATGCAAAATTGCTCAACAAGAATGCCTAGCCAATGAATACAAATCATTACTTAACAAACGAGAATTAAGTCCTAAATCCAAGATTTTATCACTATCACCATTTTTAGATGAGGATAATCTGATTCGTGTAGGCGGTCGTATTGAGAGATCTGACTGCCCATACAGTCAAAAACACCCAATACTTTTAACCTCTTCTCATCATCTATGTAAATTGATTTTTCAAATGGAACATATTCGAAATATGCATGCAGGCCCTCAGCTTCTTTTAGCTACAGTTAGGCAAACTGTTTGGCCTATTAAGGGTAGATTGGTAGCTAGAAACACAGTTCATCGTTGCGTACGTTGTAGACGTGTACAGGGAGCAACTTTATCTCCAAAAATGGGTGACCTTCCTTCACAGCGAATAACCGTTGACTTTCCCTTTAAGTCAGTGGGCATTGACATGGCTGGACCTTTTTACACTATCAATCGTAAGGGACGTGGAGCCAAAATCACAAAAACCTATTTATGTATTTTTATTTGTCTCCGATACAAGTGCGTTCATTTAGAAGCTGTTAGTGATCTATCTTCTAACGCTTTTATAATGACTTTACGTAGATTCGTATCTCGTCGCGGAAGGCCAGCGGAAATATTTTCGGACAATGGCCGTAACTTTGTCGGAGCAGCTAAAGAACTTGGAACATTTGCTAAAGAACATGGTCAGGTTATCACCGAGTTTGCAACTCAAGAGGGCATTAAATTCGTTTTCAATCCAAGTTTCGCAGCTCATTTCGGGGGGCTGTGGGAGTCTGGTATCAAATCGGCAAAACAGCATATCAAGCGTGTCATGGGCAATTCGCACTTAACATTTGAGGAAATTACGACTCTTTTTGCACAAGTAGAGGCAATTTTGAATAGCAGACCCTTGTGTCCTCTATCCTCATTACCCGACGACTTCCAATACCTTTCCCCAGGGCACTTTCTGATAGGAAGACCGCTGAATGCAGTACCATCACCAGTTTTGGAGGATCTATCAGAAAGTCAACTACATCGTTACGCTCGAGTTGAGAAAATTCGACAGCAGTTTTGGCGCAGATGGCAAAGGGAGTACATATCGGAGCTTCAATTACGAACAAAATGGAGAACGAACACCACCAAGCTAAAAATCGGTGATCTGGTACTCTTGAGCGAAGATAACCTTCCACCACTCCGTTGGCGTACTGGCCGAGTAAACAAGCTATATCCAGGACCAGATGGAATCTGTCGCGTCGCTGATGTGCAAACGATCACGGGCAATTTTCGAAGACCTCTGGTTCGCCTGTGCCCTCTTCTTACCGAAGAAGATTTGAGGAGTTGAACGACTGGAGTCTTCAACGGGGGGGGGCTATGTTAACGCCTACGCGTTTCTAAACGCAATTACATCGGCCGCTGATACGTCGGCCTTCAATTCATAAGGAAGTTACACTTTTTATGCAACCACCGCGCAATATTTTTTTTCTGTATAGATTCATCGTCGATGTGCACAACTGCTCTGTACCATTTTCAATTTTCTAAATTAAATCACTTTTCCAAAATCAGTTTTGAGTTCATATTAATGAATTCCATTGTGTCCACTACGAGACAGTCTTATTATTATTTTTTAACACACCAATTAGCCTAGCCTCAAAATAAGCACAGTAGGCTTGTTTTATGGGTAGAGGATTCAATCCCGGTCGATTTTTCTGATCCCGGGACCATTACATTTGATCCCGAAAATTTCGGGACTAAAATATGACCGGGATCCCGGGATCGAATCCTCTAGTTATGGGATATTATAGTAAAGAATAGAATACGTATACGGATACAAACGAGTATATAAGTATGTTTATATAGGATTACATATTAAACATACATGACTGGAGTACAAATGCTCGTATTCGTCACACAAACATCTGCCCCCACCGGGATTCGAGCCCGGGACGTCTCGAGTAGGCGACACCTTGAAACCCGACGTACAAACCACTCGGCAACGGAGGTCGTCAAAATAAGAGGCTATAATAGATTTAATTGTTTTCTTTTGTAACAGAAATGGCGGTACCTACCTTCGGGTCAACTTCAGCACGTCAGTTCTACATTATGCCTAGACGCCGGCATAGAGACTGGGGGGGACGCTTTGGCTCTACCCTGTCTATCGCACGCCGCTTCCCAACGGTGGGCCATAGACTACACGCAAGACAACGACTTTAAGGGCAAAGGTAACAATTTATTTTATTTTATTTGGAATGCGTACAGTATTTTTTATCAACAATCATAACTAATTATAATACTAAACACCATTAACACTTTTTCGCATATATGACTAACATTAAAAAGCTCATCGCTAAAACCGCCGCGAGTGCCGTATTTTCCCTTTTTATTTTAATCTAACTACACAATATTTTATAACATTTTACAATATCAATATTAACATCTTGAAAAAGCGTAAGCTCTCCTTAATCAGTTGACTGCAAATAAACAGTTTTTCTACAGGTGAATCGGAATCGAGTGAACAAGAGCAAAGATTGAGCAAACTCAGAGGGCAGCGGTAAGCCGATCTTTTATTTATAGTTATATTTTTTTATTTTTAAACAATGAACTGTCGATGTTTATATGTAAAGAAAATATAACTAGAAAAAAGTTCACGCGGACCAAACAGCGGACGGGACTTGAACCCGCACCCTTCACTATCCGGGCGAATGCACTGACCATTATGCTACCGCGACCCGTGTCGAATTCTTTCTAGCCTTTCTTAAGCTGCAGGGCAGCGCCATCTCTTCGCATTGTGGGTTACCTATTAAGCTATTTATTTATGTTACATATAACTGCGTGGAAAATTTTATTTCCCATACAAACTTCCACTCACCTTAAAGGTTGATTTCTTTGATAAAAATACTATCCTATATCGTTTCCCGGGACTCGAAACTGTATTTCTACCAATTTTCATCTATTGGTTCAGCAATATAAGCGTGAACTGGTAATAGACAGACCAACACACTTTCGCATTTATATTAGTATGGATAGATAGATAGATATAGAAGTATTTGAAGTGTCAATTTTCATGTTAAATGGGTGGCAAACAAGCTTTTAAGCTGTAAGCGACCGCCATAGTCCGTAAACGCTTGCCCTACCAAGCTATCATTTGCGTTACCCAATAATTTGCTGACAATTTCCACTAATAAAATCTACATTAATTGTTTTTGCGTTAAATAACATCGGAACAATTCTCCAAATCATATAATACACAATGGTATAGAATTTCTTCCATCAATTTCCCACCTTAAAATGTTCGTGTTAAAGACTAAAATAGCTCGGAAAATTTTCACAACACGATGAGGTATAGGGTATGAATCCCAAATGTTTCTATGATGAATACGAACACTTGTTGCTCCTATTTTCATTATATTTCTAGGAAACTATACTTATCTTTGTATTATTATAACTCTAGTATTCCATAACACAAGCCTTACTTATTCTTATACATAATTGTTGAATGTTTAGAAATAAAATAATAATAATAAATAAATATTTCCAACACTCACACCAATTAGCCTAGCCCCAAAGTAAGCACTGTAAGGCTTGTGTTATGGGATACTAGGGTAACGGATAGAATACATATACTGTACATATATAAGTATATTTAAATAGAAATACATATTAAACATCCATGACTGGAGTACAAATGCTCGTATTCATCACACAAACACCCCCCACCGGGATTCGAACCCGGGACCTCTCGAGTCGGTGACACCATGAAACCCGGCGTATAAACATTAACACACATACAATACAAATATTTACTTAAATGTTTCTCTCTTATAAACAGACGAATATCACGCTCGCTCATGTCGTACGCAGACGAGACAGTACCAGAGACAAACAGCACAGTCCGCAGACATAGACACAAGAAGAAGCACAGTAAAAAACATGCGCGCAAAAGGACCCATAAGAAACGCAGCAAAAATAAGTTCATACTGAAACTAGTTAGAACATTGATGAATGATACAGAAGATCATTTGGAAGTTGACATACATTGCAAACATAAGCAGCTGTATCCGAACAATACGTTTGTGAGAGATCTGGTGACTATACTTAACGAGAAGAATATTAAGGTGAGCGCTTTTCTATATTTAATCGACTTAAAGTTATGTGTTAAAAAAAAAGCTAAAAACACCCTTACGCTTACCGCACTAAAAAGTCAAAAATAAACAAAATATACTCTCTGTTTACTTCATTAGGGCTTTAGATTAAGTTATGTTTATAGTTGATTTTAAGATATGTTACGTATGAGCGTGCGAATCAAAAGACAGCTATTTGCGTACTACTTTTATTCCAATGAACGTTGCGGGACGCAGCCCTTAAATACCCACATATGTAACATCCCTCAACCATAATTACAACAATATATAATAATAAGTTTTTAGAAAAACTGCTTATAGTTAACGGGGGGCCGATTACGACGAGATTTGCCAGTCGGATTAGTCGGGTCCGGTGATGCGATAGGTGAAGTATACCGTTCGGGCGGAGTTCGCGGCGCTGTGTGTGTCTCTGTAGCCTGCGCCCGGACCTCAAGGTTACGTTGAGGGCACTCTGCCGCGGCCTCCGCTCCCGTTCCCTCTTCGCCGCGCGTCGTCGCATGCGCAGGCGCAGTGGCCGGCGTGTCCGGTGTCGATGGTTGCGGGTTCGAAGTGTTGTTTGCAACATCTGGTACATTGTCCAAATTCCAGGTTGGCTCGACTGATTCACCATAAAACGGTCTTATTTGATTCTTATGCCGAATAACATATTCGTCCGCTTCTGGTACATATATCCTGAACATAACATTTCCAATTTTTTCTACTATAGTACCTTCCAACCAAATATATTTTTTGTTATTTATATATCGCTTTATCATTACTTTTTCCGGTAAATCTCTCGTCGAACGGCCGCCATAGTATTTAGTCTGTAATAATTGTTTACGATGTACAGTCGAGGAAACGTCAGTCGATGAGAACTGTTTGGAAATTGGGTTAATTAAATCCAATCTACATTTTAATTTACTTCCATACAGTAATTCGGCTGGTGATCGACCAGTCGTGCTGTGAGTTGAATTACGGTAGTCAAATAAAAATTTATTTATTTTATTTTTCAAATATTGTTGATTATTACATGATAGGATAATGCTTTTTATACCCCTTTTTACTATTTTTACTGCACTCTCGACTTGATCGTTACTGCTGGGATGATAAATCGGGGACAACACATGGCGTATGCCGTTTAATTTACAAAATTGTTTAAACTTTTCCGAAGTGAAAGAAGTGCCGTTATCACTAACGATAATCTCGGGAATACCTACTCTAGACATAACTTCGTACAGACGTTCGATCACCGCGTCCGTTGTGGTGTTCGAATTCATACAAAAACATTCCACCAATTTAGTATACGAATCAACCAATATTAAATACATTTTGTCATTTAAAGGACCTAGGATGTCTATATGTATCCTGTAAAAGGGATGCGGCGGGTATGGCCAGGGCGAGAGGGCGGCGCGGGGGGAACCACAGCCGAGAGCGCGCTTCACTTTTCATTTTGGCTATTCCAAAATGTGAACTATGTAGCTCTTGAATAACTCGGTCCCGTAGGTTGCCTGGTATAACAACTTTATGTCCCCGCATCAAACAACCTTTTTCAATCGATAATTGCGACCTGCATAAAAAGTAAGGCTTAATATTTAAATCTGTGACTTTGCGGGGCCATCCTGTTAATATAAAACCTTTAACCTTCTGTAAGGTAGCGTCGCCTATGGTGGCCTCCCGTATTTGAGTTAACGTGACAGGTAAATCGCCTTCTACCACAAAGTTTATATAAGCCGCACGATCCTCACATTCTCTCGCCTCCTCTAATCCAGCCGAGGCACTGTCGCTGACGTTACTCATAGAGCGGGATAAATAGTCCGCTATGTTTGCCGAGCTCGGGACATATGTAATTTTATAATTGTAAGCAGCTAGAAAAATCGCATAACGCTGTAACCTATTGGCTGTTACTTCTGGTATGCCCTTTTGCAACCCAAATATCGATAGAAGGGGCTTATGATCAGTGCGTAAAACAAAGGGAATTTCCCTACCATATAAATACTGATGGAAACGTTTAACGCCAAATATTATCGCTGTGGCTTCCTTTTGAATCTGAGAATATTTTTTTTCAGCTACCGATAAGGACCTGGAAGCATAAGACACGGGACGCTCTATCCCGTCGCTGCCCACTTGAGACAGCACGGCCCCTAATCCATACGTTGACGCATCTACCGATAATATTACAGTCGCATTTTGATCAAAATGAGCTAAAGTATTGTCTGAGGTTAAATGTTCTTTAATTTTTTCAAATGACTGTTGATGTGCGTCGGTCCAAACCCATTTAGAATTTTTATTTAATAATTGATACAATGGGTTTAGTATAGTTGAAATTTTTGGAACAAAAGACCTATAATAATTTACTAACCCCAAAAAAGATTGCAGTTGACTAATGTTAGTGGGAACAGAAGCATCTATTACAGCTTTCACCTTGTCCGGAGACTTACGTATGCCATTTTTGTTGATAATATGTCCTAAGTATTGTACCTCATTTTGAAAAAACATGCACTTATCCTTTCGTAAAGTCAGACCTGCCTCACTTAATCTTCTTAAAACTATCCTTAACCTATCCATGTGCTGACTCCTATTTCCAGCCGTAAAATATCGTCTAATAGGCACGCCACGCCGTCTAGCCCTGCCACGATACCCTGCATGGCCTTCTGGAATATAGCGGGCGCACTCGATAACCCAAAAACTAACCTCGTGTACTTAAAGAGACCCCTATGAGTATTTATGCAAGTTATCGATTGACTTTCGTCGTCATCGCATAATAAAAATTGATTGTACGCACTGGATAAATCTAATTTTGTGAACTCTTCACCTCCATGTAATTTTATAAAAAGATCATCAACCGTAGGGAGCGGATATTTTTCGATAATTAGTTGCTTATTTATAGTGGATGAGTAATCAGCACATATACGAATTTCCCCATTGCTTTTCAATATGGGAACTATAGGAGACGCATAGTCCGAATATTGCACAGGCTTTATTATACCTAACGATAACATCCGATCTAGTTCGTTATCTATTTTACTTTTTAATGCGTACGCGACCGGCCGGTGGGCCAATCGCCTAACCAGATTGCTTTGGAAACGCTATCGCTTACGATTTCATTTTGTTATTTCTAACCGCCGAAATACCTCACGCTCATTTTCTTTAATATTGTTATTACCAATGCAAAAGAAAAAAAAAGAGCGCGAGGCATTTGAAAACCTCAGGGGGCTAGAAATAACAAAATGAAATCGTAAGCGATAGCGTTTTCCAAAGCAATCCAGTTAGGCGATTGGCCCCCAGGTCTTACAAAAAACCGGTTTTGCGTCTTGCTTTAATGATAATTTTATTTTATATTTAGTAAATGTCCCAAGTTTTTCCGCGAAAACAGATGGAAATTCAGATGCCAACTCATTAACATTCACCTTTTCACTATGACAATAGTTAATTGAAGAAATCTCCAATTTAAATTTGTTAATAAAATCCCTACCTAGTATTGGCGGGCCGCCATCCTTCACAACATAAATATTGAGATAATGTATTTGACCTAAATATGAAATCGGCATGCGTATAGTACCTAAAGTTGTTATACTACCCCCCGAGTAACTTGTTAATTTTTTTGTTGATTGTGATAACGGCACTTTAGCGAAATATTTATAATAAATTTTATCCGATATAGCAGTAACAGCCGCCCCGGAGTCGATTTCGAATTCTAATTGTAACCCATTAATGTGAATACGTTCAACCATTGGTTTTGAAGCTGAATAACACCTAATATGAAATAAACTTTTACCTTCACAATTTTCCTCAACTGAATTCTCCTCGACGTATTTTACTATATTATGGGACGATTTGTTTGTACACATACGCCGCAGGTGACCTTTTCTACCACACTTTCGGCGGCTAAAACTTTTGAACCTACATTCCACTGATTTATGATTTTTGAACCCGCACACTGTACACTTGACACCACCATAAGGTTTTTCTTCGACGACCTTGAACACCGCGCTCGCAGGTGTCGAAGGCGCGCTGCTCGCGGCTGCGCGCGCGCAGCGCACGCTCTCCGCCAGCTCCACCGCCTTCGCCAACGTCAACTCCTTGATGTCCTGTGCGAATAGCTTATCGCGCTCGGGACCGCTCGCCATACCCATTACGAAGCGGTCTAGCAACGATTCCTCTAGGTTGCTAAAACTGCAATACACCGCCAAGCCTCTTAATCTCGCCGCCCACTGTGCGTGACCCTCGTCTGTCTTCTGGACTGCCGCATAAAATTTGGAACGTTCTGCGAAACTGCAACGTTTCGGTACGAAATGCTTATCCAGTGTCTCCAAAATAGTCGCGTAGTCAATATCTTCTAATTTCCTTGGAAGTGTCAAATCACTAGCGAGCTTATACGTCGATTCACATAACGTTGTAAGTAATATCGCTCGCTGCTTGATGCCTGCTTTGTCATCTTCCACAATGCTATTGGCTATAAACCATAGGTTTAAACGTTGTTTAAATGACACCCAATCCTGGCAATTGTGGTCGAAAGTCGACAAAACTCCAAAATATGTGGCCGCCATTTTGTCGTGCGCAGGTAAGTAAGTACTCTGGATATTCGTGGGGCGCTTTTCATTGTAATATAATATTTATCAAATCAATTAATATTGATGCATAATATTCAACAATTCAGTTTAAATTTAATAATGAAGCGCATATCTTGATAAGTCTACAACGTTTAAAGTAAATCTGATCGCTTAAAGTTGGGCAAAATCGAGTCCAAACGAGTCAGTTACATACATTGCTGTGCGTACCCCTTGATGCAACCTCTGATGGTCCACTAATTAGGAAACACTGCTATAACCCATAACCGATCCAGGGTCTCGTCTATCTCTATAGAAAAATTTACCGTAACCGATCCAGTGTTTTAGGCGTGAAAGCGTAACAAACATACTTCCTTTCGCATTTATAATATTAGTTACGATACAATAGAGCATTGCTAACACTCCTGCGTAAAACAATGAGGATTATTACTAGGTCAGCAAATCAACTCAAAACCAACAGTATAATTGATTTCATAAGCTTTTTAATTATTATATTTTTTAAATCATCGAAATCAGTTCATTCGTTACGATTTTATAACTAATTTTATGGTAGCCAATATTCACCGGCGGCCGAAACGTGTGACGACACAGAGCTCGATCGTGGTTCACTCCGGTCGAACTTTAGTTAGCGTCTCTACGCACGCTCGCGCCCGAGCGCTAGAGCTCTATGACGTCACGCGGCCAGCCGAAAATTCGTGTAGTAATTTGATCATAACTTCGTCAATATTTGTCGTAGAACAAAAATTTAACTGCTGTATTTTATGGAATCTTTAGCTCTAGAAAACTGCATTTTCAACTAAAACTTTACGGATCCTGATTTGCTACTATAAATAAATTTTATAGTAGGAGAGCCCAAGCAGGGATTTTGGGATTTACTCGAGCTCGACAGAATAATTAAAGGGGGGCAAACTTTCACCTAGTGAAGTACACCCACCATACCCGAAAAGTTTTTTACTAAACCTATAGCCACCTTACCCCTGGCGGGTTATGCATAGGACATCAACTTTGATGAAATTGACGCCGTATGTCCTATTGCTATAACACCTGGAAAACTTATTTTTCTACATATTAACTATTTAAATCGTTTTTCCTTTACTTTAATACCGTATAAAAGAAACGTACCAAGCTTCATTATTCTATTTTATTGGATTTTGGAAAAGTTACAGCTCCATAAATTTTAATAAACTATAACTATTTATACTTAATTAAGCCAATTACAAGTTTAAATCTAAAGAAAAGTTTACTAGAAAAAAATCCACGCGGACCAGTCGGAAACGTTTAATACCTCCAGTCCCCTAGCATGAGCACTGCGATATGATATATAACTCGTTTTTATCACGCTCAATGATCAAATTACTATGAAGTTTGACAGTTAGACGCGATACAAACGTGATATAATGTACATGTAATGTAAACCATAATTGTGGTGCTCATTCTACGGGGACAGTGGTTAGGACGTTAATTCATTAGCAATGGTAAATAGTCCGTTTCAAATTGGCCAATCTCATTATTCCATCCATAGGGAAGGCCTGTGCCCCAGCAGTGGGGACATTAATAAGCCGATGATGATGACGTTTCAAATTATACTTATAGGTAATCAACAACGGTAGAGTGTTTGAACGCAACAAAGTGACGGAACTCAAAGGTTCTACGCCCGCCAAAGTTCTACAGAAGTTGGAAATCGGCCACGAAAGCCAAGACAGCTCGAGATCTCCACAACCCGAGAAGGTGAGATTATTCTTTATACAGTACTAGCGACCCGCCCCGGCTTTGCACGGGTGCAATGCTGATACTGAATATACTACAGAATGTCTTAATATACAAGGTTCACAGCTTTTTTGTCATGAAACAATACATCCCCGGCCGGTACCGCCGCAACCGCTATGTCCCTGCATTTTAAATCTGTATTATCTTCGAAAATATTCATTTAAATTACATGCTGTAAAGGGCCATGTTGATATATATTACACGCACAATGTATTTAAGGTACTTAATTGCATAAGAATTAATGTTGTGTTACTTAAAATCGTATCGTATATAAGCCATTATTTTCTCGTAATAAGTAAAAAATAAAAAATGGTTATTGTGGATTATCCCTAAGAGGTAGACATATAACATCGCGGACTTTTTTGTAGATCTTTTTAAGGTGTACAATACTGTAGTACATTATGTTGATCTATCTCGTAGACTTCAGCCAGCGTTAGCAATGTAAGCGCAAAAAATGTGTATTTACGACCTTACATTAAAAACCTCTAATATTATGAGTTTCTCTACTATATTATGCATTTATTATACAATATAAACCTTCCTCTTGAATCACTCTATCTTTTAAAAAAAACTGCATCAAAATCCGTTGCGTAGTTATAAAGATCTAACCATACATAGGGACAGATAGCGGGAAGCGACTTTGCTTTATACTATGTAGTGATGGAATAACGTCGAGTTGTGTCTACAATTTGTTCCAAGAGGTGTGTCCTTTTAAAGACAAGAGGAAAATGGTATAACACTGGTTTAAGCAAGTAAAAGTCGGTGTAGACAACAGTTTTTGTTCTCAGGCTTGTAATACACAATGACATTCATCTATGATTCTTCTTATACCTGCATGCAAAGTCTCAGCCCGATCGGTTTAAAATTGACAAAGTTTCATACAAACTTTCATTCCCTGTTTTATCCCCTTGGAGGTAGAATTGATCAAAATCCTTTCTTAGCGGATGCCTACGTCATAACATCTACCTGCATGCCAAATTTCATCGCGATCCGTCCAGTGGTTTGGGCTGTGTGTTGATAGATCACTATGTCAGTCAGTTAGTAAGTCACCTTTGAGTTTCATATATATAGATAGATTATGAGATGCTCGATTGCGCGTGCGGCTGTGATCGTTAAATTTAAGCAACTTTCGCAGTGGTGGGTCATTGGATCGATGACGGGTGCTTCGGAAGGCACGTTAAGCCGTTGGTCCCGGCTGCATCTGCAGTCGTTAACTATATTCATATTAAACACAGATGCCAATAATTGGTACATTATTTTTCTGTCAAATAGCCTATTCTGTACCTGAAGTAGTATTCATAAAAAATATGAATGGATATAATTTTTATTATTTTAAAGCATGTAACTGCTTGATGTTTAAATCTAAAGAAAATATAACTAGAAAAAAATCCACGTGGACCAGGCAGCAGACGGGACTCGAACCCGCACCCTTCGCAATCCGGGCGAATGCATATAATATGAATGGAGTTTATAATCCTCACAATTTTCTTTAGATTTAAACATCTAGCAGTAAAATGATTAAAAAATAAAAATACCACTATAATTGCTATTTCTTCTTTCAAATGTTTAATACTTGTAAAGGTATTCATTTGACATTGTGGGTTGCGGAAAAATGGCGCTGCCTAGCAGCCTTAAAAAATACTAGAGAAAATTCGACACGGACATTAGGGCACGGTAGCATAACGGTCTTTGCATCCGCTCGGATAGCGGAAGGTGCGGGTTCGAATCCCGACTGCTGCTGCCGCGTGGATTTTTTCCCAGTAAAATATTCTTTATATTTAAAGTTTAAACGTCTAGCAGTTAAATGCTTAAAAAAATATCATCATAACACTTATAATTTTCAAACCTCTTAGATCAAACCATTGCGCAGTGGAAAGCATAAACACGAGAAGATGGAACAATCGATGCAAGAACCAGAAAAGAAAATCATCATAGAAGATTTCGTGGAAGTCACTACCACACCCGAGCCAACGGTAAGACAGAGACAAAATACTCCATTCGTATCTCCCTCTTACACATTAAAAAGAAGCATTTTTATGTATTCCTGTCTCTTTTATACACACAAACGACGATGATGCTATTGTTGTCCCTCTCTTGCATTTATAAACATTTCTTTTCTTATTATCTTTTTTTCTCCATGAATTTTTACGAAAGTCGGTCGAGCCGTTTCGGAGAAGTTCAATTACGCACACCGTGACACGAGAATTTTATATATTAGATGTATGTAATAAGACTACGGATATTATTTTAACAGTTAAATGGTAGTTTTATACATGCTAATAACGTCGAACACTAATAAATTTGTTATCCCCCAGTATTTAGCGAAGCGTCGTAAGCGTAAGCGCGGCCGCGTCACTTCCCTACCGAGCGTTCCGAGCGAAGCGAGCACTGTGAGCGAAGGCCTTGTGAACGAATTACCCGAAGAAAACGTCATAGATGACAGGTCGAGGAATAAAGAAGACAGGTAACTCGTATTTATATTATAGTATTACTAGCAAACCTGTGAACCAAATGTTCACCAAAAAAAAAAAAAAGTATTTAATTAATTGAAAACTTCGGAGATTTTGTGTGGTTTCGTTTGAAATAGAAATCACGTGATTTCTCGAAAACCGGAAGTGTTACGTTACTCACATCCGGTTTGTAGTCTTATCAGACTATTCTTAACTTATAACTTAAACATTCTCTATATCTATCTCTTACGGTTTGGCCGCTGAAACAGCACCACGGACGGACGGACTTGTCTAATAGATAAGAGATGAATCTTAAAATAAGGACATGAAGCAATTGTTTCTTGTATTGTTCTTGTCATATCGTAAGCACGCACAGAAGTTATCAAACTTCAAAACAATGGAAATATTTCAAATATTATAATTTTTTTTTAAACACATACCAATTAGCCTAGCCCCAAAGTAAGCACTATAAGGCTTGTGTTATGGGATACTAGGGTAACGGATAGAATAAATATACTGTACATGTATATTTTTATAGAAATACATATTTAACCTCCATTACTGGAGTATAAATGCTCGTTTTCATCACACAAACATCTACCCCCACCGGGATTTGAACCCGAGACCTCTCGAGTCGGCGACACTATGAAACCCGGGGTACAGGCCACTCGGCCACGGAGGTCGTCAAAGGTCGTCAAACATAAATACACAGGTGTCGATTCTGGCATGATCCTCTAAACTTAAACCTAAATTTAACATCAATCTCTTCTTTTCATTATGTATAGAGTAATGACAAGTATACACTTTTGTCACATTTAAGTTTCAGTTTACAGAATCATGCCAGAATCGACACCACTGTGTTGCAATGGCCATACAAATAGGGTATTTGACAAGTTTTAGAAAACGATCTCACGTTATTTACTCATGTTTATAGAGTCCATAAAAAGTGGATATTCATCATTATGTTGTGTATTTCGGTAAAAAAACCAAATCTAAAACTCTATTTTCAAGTTGCCGCGAAAAACGTACCTCTGGACAATATGGCGTCTCACTGGTGTGTGACGTCACACGACTCATTACTACGTCAAACCATACAATCAAATGTCACTTAAACTGGAAGTTTACTTGCGTGTGACGTCATTTTAGGCTCCACCAATCCCACGCGTTTTGGGTCACGTAACAATAGACAAGAAAACTATTATCCTAATCGTGGGTTTTTAGTAAAATTATGAATATTTTTTCTGTAAAAACTCCTGCCCATATTCATTCTAAATACAGATGCTAACAATTGGCACTTTATTTTTAATACTGTCAAATACCCTATTACGTATCTTGCATTTTATTTTAAAAGCCACGAAAAATGACAAACCAAAGCTTTTAAATCTATAGAATAATTAAAAGCCCTTCCGGCAGCCCAATATAGGGAAAGACTTGGCAGTGTTCTTTAAATATTAGAAATATTGACAGTACATTTTTGTCACTCCTTATCAGAACAAAAGTAATTTTATGGAATTTATAGTTTTCTATTGGATTTTATTTGAATGCATTTAATTTAATGCAATGCAATGTAACAGTTAATATCGTTTATTTTGGTGTTATTTGTTTTAAATAACTAAATTTTTTGTGTATGCAGGTTATGTGTTGTAATCTTGAACGATTCGTCAATTATCAATAAGTCAGTACTTTGTTGATTGTAATATGTTATGTGTACCGAATAAATAAATAATAAATAAAACGATGTAAATATTTAATAAAAAAACAAAATGTCCGTTCAGTTTGTATTTTTGATTGAGCTAAGTATATAAAAAATTAAGACAACCACCTTATTGTTCATAGAATACAAAAAATATTTGAAGAGGACGCTATGAAGGAACAGTCTATGGAAGAAACTACATCAGGTAGAGAGGATCCACTGAATGCTGTGGACGAAGAAACAGATCGTGGCTCCGACAACGAAGATTGGACCGTCGGTGAGTAGCAATTAAGACCTTAAAACGTAGGAAATACGGTTCAAAGTAGGTTGAGATAATTGGTAATAGAAACTGAAGATTGTGGATCCGGAAATGAAGATTTGTCTGTGGGTGAGTAGAAATTAAGACCTTAATACGTAGGAAATACGGTTCATTGTAGGTTGAGATAATGGGTATTAGGAACTAAGGATCAGTGAATGCTGTGGACGAAAATACAGATCGTGGTTCCGGCAACGAAGATTTGATCGTCGGAGAGTAGCAATTAAGACCTTAAAACGTAGGAAATACGGTTCAAAGAGGGCTGAAATTGGATAATAGGAACTAATGATCAGTAAATGTAGTTGATGAAGATACAGATTGTGGCTTCGGAAACGAAGGTTGGACCGTCGGTGAGTAGCAATTAATACCTTTAAACGTAGGAAATACGGTTCAAAGTGGGTTGCGATGATAGGCAGAACTTATGGGTTTCGGTAGCAGATTTGATCGTCGGTGAGTAGGTATTTTAGAACTAAACTTGTAGGGAATAAAGTTCAATGTAGGTTGCAAGTATAGATAGTACTTGAGGGTTTGGATAACAGATTAGGCCGTCGCATCGATGAGTATCAATTGAGACCTTAGCTCTCATGACATAAGGTTCAATGTAAGTTCAAATATATTATTTCAATTAATAGGCCGAGAAAAAGTAAGGACTTTGGGCAATGAAAAATAGACCGTCAGTGAGTAGAAATTATGACCTTACTCGTAGGAAATACGGTTCAATGTAGGTTGCGATTCTAGGTCAAACAACTTAACATTACGTCTAGGGCAACGAAAATTGGTCGGTGTCTAGCGACTTAAGACCTTAACTCGTAAGAATGAGAGTCTGTTGATAAATATACCGATTGGAACTAAAGGACTTCGGATTTGGCAAGGAAAATTAAACCTTCATTGAGAAAAGATTTAATAAATACATGTAGATAATAATAATAACTAAATATTTCCAACACTCACACCAATTAGCCTAGCCCCAAAGTAAACAATACAGTAAACACTGTAGGCTTGTGTTATGGGATACTAGAGTAACGAACAGAATACAGATACTGATACATATATAACTATCTCTATATATAAAACTCAAAGGAGACTGGCTGACATAGTGATCTATCGACGCACAGCCCAAACCACTGGACGAATCGGGCTGAAATTTGGCATGCAGGTAGATGTTATGACGTAGGCATCCGCTAAGAAAGGATTTTGAACAATTCTACCCCCAAGGGGATAAAATAGGGAATGAAAGTTTGTATGAAACTTTGTCAATTTTAAACTGATCGGGCTGAGACTTTGCATGCAGGTATAAGAAGAATCATAGATGAATGTCGTTGTGTATAATACAAGCCTGAGAACAAAAACTGTAGTCTACACTTCAGCTCTACACCGAAGCGAAGCGAGGGCGGGCCACTAGTCTTTATATAAAAATACATATTATACATCCATGACTGGAGTACAAATGCTCGTATACATCAAACAAACATCTACCCCACCGGGATTCCAACCCGGGAGGCCTCTCGAGTAGGCGACACACTCGGCTACGGAGGTCGTCTGTTGTTACTGTGTTCTAGAACAAATAAACATCCATACTTATCAGCCTAGTCCTTAAAAAAACACTGTAAGGCTTGTGAAATCAAAAATCCATATATCTTTATTCAAATTGGATGTATCATCATCATCATCATCATCAACCTATTAATGTCCCCACTGCTGGGGCACAGGCCTTCCCTATGGATGGAATAGGGAGATTGGGCCATGACCCACCACGCGGGCCCAGTGCGGATTGGTGGGTGCTAACGACTGCAGATGCAGCCGATTGGATGTATAGTACAACTCTTTTCAATCGTCCAAAGTTTAATTTTTCTACCACTCGTTATTGGATATATTTTTTAGCTGCGGAGAAAAACTTTCGAAAAAAACTCCACAACAATAGAAAATTGGAAGTACATATTGTGATACACACACATACAATTTTGGTTGGTAGACTTAGTAGATAGCCTAGTTATTATTGTAGTCAAGAATAACTATAATGGGTCATCCACAAAGTACATCAGGGGTAGGGAGGGGGTCGACAAAGTGTGACAAGGGGTGGGAAGGGTCCCAAGTTTCGTGACGTCACATTTCAAAATCTAATAGGATTATTATGAAAAATCTTTTAAATATTTAGAAATCTATCTGTATGGGTTTTAATTTGATTTGTGGGCTAATTTTCAGAACTGCTGTTACTGTGTAATTTAATAAATTTGTAGGTGCAAAATATGTGACGTCATTCTAGGGGGGGAGGGACGCTCACAAATGTGAGAGGTTAAAAAATCAAGAAATTAGTATGACGTACTTTATGAATGATCCCTTATGTATGAATTTTTTCAACAGGAGAATCTCGTTTCCGAAGTGACCGGAGAAATCTTCCAAATGAACACAGAAGCAAGGCGAGTATTCCGAACAAATTCTTTTTTTATAATCCTATTCATTCAATATAAGCTTATCTGTGAAGTAACTACGTAAGCGTTCTTCTTCTTTATTAAACTACTATTTTCATTCAGTTAAAGCGGCTTAATAATGCAATTTTACATGTTTTTATTACTTCAGTACCCCTAGCACGAACCATTATCGAATTCGAATAGTTTGCAAACCGAAATGTCAATGTCAAATTTTGTATGGAAACTTGAACAGCAGCGCCACTTAGGACGTAACGGGAACTAAAAATCAGTACACATTTGACAATGACACTTCGGACTCGCAAACGTTACGAATTCGATTTTGGTGCGTGCTTTTGGATACAGAACGGAACGGAAATTTGACGAATTTCTTTTTTTTAAATTTCTTTATCATATAGTCATGCTATTTTACCAGCTTGTACGTCGTCTATATTATATCCATATTATAAGGCGACGTACTAGCATCCATCTATTCAACATCCTGTGAGGCAAAAGTTTATTTTTTTTTAAATTTCAACGTAAATTATTCTTGCTTTAATTTAGTAGTACTATAATGTAAAAATCAAATTAAATCTAAAATACATATTAAACACCCGTGACTGGACTACAAATGCTCGTATTCATCACACAAACATCTGCCCCCACCGGGATTCGAACCGGGGACCTCTCTAAGCGACACTTTGAAACCCGGCGTTCATACCACTCGGCCACGGAGGTCGTCAAAATAATTTATTTATATATTTCTATGTAATCACAGACGTCACAACCATACGAAGCCGCCGTAGATCGTTCAGAAACAAGCGAGCGCGTTTCGGAACGCGCCAACTATCAACGCAAGCCGGTCCGACACGAAATCAGATATGTTACTGGTAAGTACCAACTTTACTTAGTAAGTAAGTAAATACTTGGGTTACCAACTTTTATTGGAAGAATATAAATATAAATGAGATAAAAAGAAATAGAGGAGCTCGATGGCGCAAGTGGTTAGCGCGTTCGGCTACGATCTTTGAAGTTAAGCAACTTTCGCAGTGGTCGGTCCATTGGATGGGTGACCAAAAATTTACTATCTCGAGCTCCTCCGTGCTTCGGAAGGCACGTTAAGCTGTTGGTCCCGGCTGCATCTGCAGTCGTTAGCACCCACCAATCCGCACTGGGCCTGCGTGGTGGGTCATGGCCCAATCTCCCTATTCCATCCATAGCGAAGACCTGTGCCCCAGCAGTGGGAACATTAATAGGCTGATGATGATGATGAAATATAAATAAATAAATATAAATATTTCCAACACTCACACCAATTAGCCTAGCCCCAAAGTAAGTACTGTAAGGCTTGTGTTATGGGATACTAGGGTATCAGATAGAATACATGTACTGTACATATATAAGTATATTTAAAGAAAATATAACTAGAAAAAAACTAGAAAAAAATCCACGCGGACCAGGCAGCAGACGGGACTCGAACCCGCACCCTTCGCAATCCGGGCGAATGCACTGACCAATTATGCTACCGCGGCCCTCACGGACCGCGTCGAAATTCTTTCTAGCTATTCTTAAGCTGCAAGGCAGCGCCATCTCTTCGCATTATAGGTAAACCAACAATGTCAAATGAATACTTTTACAAGTATTAAACATTTGAAAGAAGAAATAGCAATTATAGTTATAATTTTTATTATTTTTAAAGCATGTAACTGCTTGATGTTTAAATCTAAAGAAAATATAACTAGAAAATTTAAACATCAAGCAGTTACATGCTTTAAAAATAATAAAAACTATAAGTATATTTATATAGAAATACATAGTAAACATCCGTGACTGGAGTACAAATGCTCCTATAAACACACAGACATCCTGCCCCAACCGGGATTCGAAACGGGTACCTCTCGAGTAGGCGACACCTTAAAAGCTGGCGTATAAACCACTGCCATATTGGTCGTCAAAAATAAATATAATTTGATTGGGCACTATGGGACATACCACACGGGTCCTTAGCGGATTGTTGTGATCAACGGCTTAACGTGCCTTCCGAGGCACGGAAGAACTATAAGTCATAAGCAAGGTTATTATAAGGGCCGTTCAAGTATTATGTAAGCACTTTTGGGGTAGGGAGGGAGGGGGGGTATCTTGACATGGGAGGGGGGGTGTCGAGATAGTGATTACGTCAGCATCATGGTTTCGGGTGCCATGGTCTGAAGACTGTTAATTAGAATTAATATGTATACCAAAAATTCGAAAAAAGTTTGTTTTGTTCGTAATATCTGAAGACTGTTAATTAGAATTAATATGTATACCAAAAATTCGAAAAAAGTTTGTTTTGTTCGTAATATGTAGTATTTAATAAGATATTTGTACCTTACTCTATGTCGAATACTGTGTCAATAAAGTTGGTTTAAATTAATATTATGTGCGTTAAAATCCAGTATCCCAAGCCTATTTAAGTACTGATGCTCATGAAGCTAATGAAACCTCATGAATCAATAAAAAAAAATAGAATACATTATAAGAAAAATGCATATAGATACCAATGTTTACGTAAGCATGGGAGAGGGGGTAAGAGCTTTGCTTTCTTTTGCTGACCCAATGCGGAAGCTCCTCAACTTCCACGATCGCAGGTTGAACGAACTACCTGCGCCATCAAGCACCTCTTATGTTTATACTTATTAAATGTTTTTCTTCTCATATCGCATCAAACAGATGAACAGTCGGACAAGCGTCGCATACATACCGACCGCCGCCGCGACAGGTTGCAATCTGCTCAAACCGGGGATCGAACCGACGACCCCGACCCCGCTAACCCCGTCAAACTGGTCATGAGGAGCAACCTCACCTTCAACCTTGGGGAAGAGTTCTTCAAATGGAAGAAGCATGGTAGTGTCGCGTGAGTAAATTTTTTTATTCATCTTTCAGAATGAACGATTAATAGAAATTCTCATTCTTAATTTATTACAATAGGGGTGATGACGGGGTACAGTAAACGAAATTCTATTTAGTCTGTCAGTTAGATGATCAAAAAATAATGGACACGTATTTTTTCTTTGGGCAATCAACCAAAAAATGACAAAGTTATAGCGCTTCAAAGTTTGGGAGTAGGGGCTCGTGACGTCACTTTTAAGTGAAAATTGTACCAAAACGTGACGTCATGCGACTTTTCAAATCAATATATCTCTGCATGTTTATATTATATAAAAAAGGAAAAATAAGTGTCCAATACTTTTTGATAATCTACCTGATAAACGAAGAAAATAAAATTAGTCATCATCCCTATTTATATAAGAATAGCTGACCCGGCGAACTTCGTACCGCTTACAATAATTTGGAGGAAATGAAATCAGAAATGTGGATATTATCATCATCATATATATCATCAGAGATGTTGTTAATTCTTTTTAACATGTGTAGCCATGAAATGAAAACTAAACTCTAAAAATTCTTGCTTCAACTTAATTATGATGAAACTGATCAGTTACTTAATATTTATTTGTTTAAACTTTATTTCCCAAAATACAAGAGATGGTATGAAAAGCGGACTTAATGCTAATAGCATTCTATATATCTAACAGGGACATCATAAACGAGCTATCAATACCCACCGACGTCGCACAACCGGACGACGGTGCCGGAACCGGATCCGGCGACGCCATCCGGACCGGCGCCGGTTTATATCCATCATTCCGGACTCCGGAATCGTCCAATGAGGACGACGGATCCAGTACTTCGGACAGTAGTGGGGAATGACATTGAAATGTTAGAATGTTGAAATTAATAAAAAATGCCTTAATACCACAAAAAAGTTAGACCTGAGTTCAACGCGAGTTTAAGCAAAAATATGACAGACCAAAACTTTTTGCTTAACAAGCAACGAATTGGAGACGATACGGAATACGAATTACGTTAAGAAGTGGTTCCCCACAAACTGCGATCGAGTGGGTGTGGCGAAAAAAAATGCGATCAACACGCCGATCATGGGATTGGTTGGGATTTCCGTTTGATATTATCTTACCCAATGAACGGATAGCCGAATCCATTTGCAGATATTTGATTTGCCAAAGTATTACGTTTTGTCTGTGTGTGTGTTACGTTAGTATTGAAGTTTAGTTGTATGAGTTTGGAACCATGTTTCAGCGGCCTTTGTATTTATTTGGTTTGTCATGCGTTTAAAACGAGTTTAAAGAAACACAAACGAGTGTGCTTATGACCACACGTCTGAAGTAAAACTTCTTTAGCTCCATCTGTATGTGTGTGTACAATATATACATGTATGTACATATACATATTTCATTTACAAGCTAGAAGAGAAAGAAAATGTGCACGCGCACTGCTTTCTCTTGCTTATATGCCCCACTCAACTCCCGATCGCCTCGCCCAAACACACTTTTCGTAACGCGTATAGCATTCGCCAGCTTACCCCCCAAGTCAAGCGTGAGTAAAAAGTCACTTCAAAAAATTACATAGAAAAAATTGCATAAACAATTTTAAACCAGTGTCTAACTTTTTTGTGGTAAAACCGATAGGATTTAACGTAACTGTGATGGATAAACAAGTATATGGCCGCCAAAGTAGCTATAATATGATTGTAATGATTTTATCTATCCAAGCCTTTGATTAATTACACGCCTAGATACCGTAACAGCTGCACGGAAACAGCCCAATAAATATCTACTACATTTAGTAGATACGCTAGTCGCTGCACACGCTCACATTGACTGCTTTCAAACAATCTGACATTACTTTGAAACATGAGACGTATTCTTTGCGTTGTTTATATATAAGCGTGTATACATATAATCAAAGGCGGGCTATATGCTTGTTAACGTCAATCTCTATAGAAAAGTAATCTATTCTATTGTCTATGAATGTAGACTTTGATCTCTTTCTATGTACAATCGGCTGCGGGTCAAGTTATAAACAGACACATTATTACGACCGACTTTAAGCTTTACCTAGTTATCATAAGATTCATTATCAATTGTGAAGAAAGTTTGAGGATTTGTTACCTGTATAGGCGTGATGACGGCCAAAAAAGTAAACTATATGCTATTGAGTCTGTCAGTTAGATTATCAAAAAATAATGAACTTTTTTTTTGCTTGTGTCAATCAACAAAATAATTACATGCAAAGAGCGCGTCAAAGCTTGGGAGTGGGGGTTCGTGACGTCATTTCTAAGTAAAAAATATACCAAGACGCCATGATACATTTCAAATCATTATAGGCACCTCTGAAATGTTTTGATTTGGTTATAAATAAAAAAAAAATATGTCCAGTACTTTTAGATAATCTTCCTAATAGAAATTTGCAGGCAGGATGAGGATGGTTGGTATGGCAGTTTATAACTACTGTACCAGCTATCTTCGCGTTTGGTCTTTATCACTATTTAACATCAGGTGGGGTAGAGTCATTTGCCTACCTGGCTATATAAAAAAAAATAGACGATGTCAAAAAATGTTAGTCGTAAACCTTTGACTTTTATGTTGTTGCCTAAATAATGTAATAAAGGAAATATACAAATGGCACCACAATACCTTTTCGTGTCCCTTTCGCACAATATTGTCGTATTTATATTACGTAAGACAATGAATTGAGGAGCTGGCGAACAGAACGGTATAATTACATAAAATTATTTTTTACAGGAGCTGTATAAAACTGAATGACATGACAAACCTCCAGTGAGCTTTTGGCTTGGTTTTTAATTTATAAATTTAGTAATTTTAACACTGTTTTAGGCGGTTTTGATTGAAAATTATTTAAGATTCAAATTCAATGGGCCAGATGCGTAATGACCAGATGCGTAATTATACCGTTTTGTTCGCCAGCTCCTCAACTAAGCTACGTTCTGTTAGGCAGCCGGCGCTGATCGTCTTTTTAAAAAAAACCCAAAATTCCTGGCTATGAATTTAACGATTTTAGATATACACAATTACACACGCGAACTCGAGTACCAAGTCCTGAGCTACCCGGATGGACCGTTCTTTCCCGTTGCCAAAGTCTAACTGCACTCTGGGAATTGATGGAATAATGTGAGGGCTGCGTTAATGCAACTCTGCAGTTTAATTCTATGGAAAATTACAGTTATACACGTTTTTGTTGAATTAGCATTCTATGGTTGCTAAGTCGGGTTATAACAGTTCGCATGTTGCAGCCAATACCTATATGATTTATTGGCCGCACGATAGCTTCATCTCTTTCACACCTATCTACCCAGGTTGTTATATTGTTGTTACTGTCTTTTGACGTAGTATGAAAGATGTGCGAGAGGGAGGGATTGTCTTGCGTCGCCATTTCAAATTCGTTTCTTCACTGGTCAAGGTTATACAATTTTTTTTTTCAATAGTTACTTAAAATTGTCTATTACGAAATACATATTGGTGCTGAAAAAGTGTACTTACCTAATAATAATAAGGAAACCTAGTTTAAGGTAGTTGTAATTCGTTCACAAATGCTTTATCTATACTCTGTCGATGTCAGTATGGTCCCATATGTTTGTCACCAATATTGGCCAAAGTGAAGAGACCTTACTCGCGGCCAATATTTTGTCCAATGCTTGTTTAATGCTGGTACTTCATTCGTGGCTGTTCGTGTCGATGTCCTGTGAAAATGCTCACAATTTGTTGTTTCAAAGTATGTCTTGGTAGCTTGCAAAACTTACTTGGTAGCCGAGGCTCTACCTTAGGTAAAGCCTCCCTGGCATGCCTGCAGTCTGCAAGTCCAGCCCAGTGTTCGTTTTAATCCTTATAAAGCATGATAAGGACAGAGTCTTGTCAATTATACAAATAGCAAATACGAATAGCCAAGTGAAGTGCCGACACAACAATTCGTACTTTGACGAATATTTGGGCCAACTTGTGGAACCTTGGTCACACTTTTGTTTGTGGATAAAGACAGAGTAATTCATTGAATGACAAATAGCACTTATTCCTAGTTTATTGCTGTTTTGCTCAAGAAGTTTTTCGCTATTTTTAACAAGTAATGTCTATATCTTATACTTGTGGGCAGACCCCTCTTTCCCAGTGGGCACTTTGGGCAAATGCCCAGGGCCCCGCGATCGATAGCCCCATTATCCTAATGTGCCCAGGGCCTCCAATAGGTCAAAGACGGCACAGCTTGTGGGTAACTGCAACTTCAGTCTGCATGGAAAAAAATATTTCCCATACAAATATGTACCCCCCTTTCGAATAACGGCAGAATACCAACGATAAGTCAAAACTCGACTGTCACATTCTGAGCCAAATACCTTTTTGTTTCAATTAAAATTTACTTTCGTTGCATTTCTGTATTGTATTGTACCAATAGGGTATTTGACAAGTTTTAGAAAACGATCTCACGTTATTGACTAATGTTTATGGAGTCCGTAAAAAGTGGATATTCATCATTCTGTTGTGTATTTCAGTAAAAATAACCAAATCCAAAACTCGATTTTCAAGTTGCCGCGAAAACGTTTCTCTGGACTGTTTCTCTGGTTATTAACACGTCAAACGATACAATATAATGTGTCTTTAACCGTAAGTTTACTTGCGTGTGATGCCATTTTAGGCTCCGCCAATCCCAAGCGTTTTGGGTCACGTGACAATAGATAAGAAAACTATTATCTTTTTTTGTTTCTTAGGTTTTTACGCACATCACTCATTAAATAAAACTAGTTTTTACGGGTTAATGCACGAAATTTTATTTATTTATTGACGTTTCGTAGCCTTTACAGGCTACGTCGTCAGAATAAAACCTTTATTCAATTTGTCGAGCTACCTTCGAAAACTACTTCGAGAGCTACTTTCGAAGGTAGCTCGACAAATTGAATAAAGGTTTTATTCTGACGACGTAGCCTGTAAAGGCTACGAAACGTCAATAAATAAATAAAATTTCGTGCATTAACCCGTAAAAGCTAGTTTTATTTATTATCTTTTTCGTGGGTTATTAGTAAATTTATGAATATTTTTTTTGTAAAAATAGTAAAAACCCCTGCCCTTATTCATTCTAAACACAGATGTTAACAATTGGCACTTTATTTTTAATACTAATACAAATAAATAATTTATATAATTATTATTATTTCACCTCCTGGAAGGTTGATTCCTGGTATAATAAATCCTTTGCCCTTACTCGGGACTCAAACTGTCTCTACTACTACCAAATTTCATTGAAATCAGTTCAGCTGTATTAGTGTGAAGAAGTAACAGACACACAGATAGACACAATTTCGCATTTATAACTAGTATCGATTGTAACTATCGACGCGTCTTCGACTGTACCTCAATAATGTAATTGATGCCTATGTTTTTAGTCTTTTAAATGTTTAATACTTGTAAAGGTGTTTCGTTTGACAATGTGGGTTACCTACAATACGTAGAGATGGCGCTGCCGTGTCGAATTTCCTCCAATTTTTGTTAAGCTGCAAGAAAGAAAGAAAAAAAAGTTTTTTTTAATTCTCATTACATAATAAATCGTGAAAAAAGAAAACATAAAATAACGATAAATAATAAAGGTTAACCAGGACCCTGTCTCAGCATGAGCTGGTGCGACGATGGTCGCGCGACGTTAAGTGCTGTTATTAAAATACTGAAATTCGACACGGCCAGTTAGGTCTCGGTAAAAATATTTTTCATACGTATATCTGAAATATAGATATGTCCATACGATTTATACAAATATTTTTTATTTGAGAATTAGATCAGTCCCTGCCTTCACTAGGGCTAGGATCTGCTATAAGTAAAACTGATTTCATACTATTTTTCGTACCAAAGAAA